TTACTAAAGCATGGTCCTGAGGATAGTAGCAAAGTTGGATTTTTTGAGTTTAATTTGTTCTAATTTCTTGAGAAAGCCAGTCTTCTTCTAAAGGTTAAAAACTTTTGAAGGAAAGCCAAGCCTCAAGTTTAAATGCATTAACAGATTACTCTTATAAGGTAATTTTAAAGTATTATAAGCTCTTTTAAGTGATTAAAGGAAGATGAGGACTCTAACCTGTCAATTCTATACACCAGCTTGTTCAATTTCTAGCAGATACTGCAGAATTTCTTACAAAACATTTTACTTTGGATTCTTATGCTATGGATACTCACATATGTTTCCCATGGCCAAACTTTCCCAGCTTCACTCTTTGTAATGACAGTTCATATCCTCAAAGGGAGGTGAGGGTCAAAATCAGATCTTTCAGCACAGCTCTTTCACTTCATAAATCTGAGATTCATTGTCTGAGACCTGATTAAGAAAAGTCAGCAAAGCCAGAATTCTCCCTCACGAGAGAAAACATAGTGCCTAAATGATTTCTTGGATGTAAGTGAACCTGAGAGATAGCTAAAGATGTACTGCACCTAAAAAGGTGTCTAACCATTTTACTGCAAACACTTGACACAAGAGATTCCTAAACTATTTTAAGTTTAGGAAGGTGTAATCAAGAAGAGTTTTGTTCTATGGCAGACTTAACCTTATGGATGTAGCAGGAAATGAGAGGAGCTTAATTTCACTCAGCAAGATGAAGGTTGAGAGGAGACATGATTCCTATGAGTTCGTGTTTTGCAGGTGACACTGTAGGGAAAAGTGATACTTAGTTTGAGTGAAATAGATCTAAGTTGGTGATTTTTAAATTTAGGCTGAAAATTAAGTCAGTGTTTCTGAGTACTACAGCAGTGAAATTCAAGATCAGTCATTCCATGTGATTAGTGACAGACAATAAAATTTCATCAAGACAGCAATTTCCTTCAAGACAGTCTGATATTTTAATGGGAATTGTTTGAGGTGATACTTGTAAGGGACTTTACTCCATCATCCTTCTGTGGTCTATATTCCTGTTAAATTCTATGCATTAAAGGAGGCCTCTCACCTAATCTGCTGGGATTCTCTTTGAAACAATGGAAAAATATAGGTTCTCCACTTATAAAGTAGGTAGGAGAAATGTCTGTCCTTTATCTACAGAGAAGATAAAAATGACTAATTTATACTAGAATTCTACTGATCCTATGGTGGAAGTGAGATGAGTGGAGTACCATCCTCTATAATTCACAAAATCAATCTTACTGTGCTTCAAGTGGAAGAGATGGTACAGACTGTGTGACCTTTGTTGCTCTCTTGCATTTATTTTCTAATTTTGTAGAACTCCTTCCTGTAATATGATATCAAAAATGATGACAATATTCCAGCCTGATCATACTGGTTCTTCAGTTCTAAGGAGTAATGAGTATGGTACTTTAGACTGCATTTCTCCAAAGTACATTGGGGAAATGTCTTGCAACCAACAGTCACAATCTGAGAAGGATGAGGTTTCAAGTGGCTTTAAGATTTATGTGGCCAGTACTATGGCACAAGCATCTATTTAAGAAAAAATGAACTGGGAGGAACTTATTGAGTGTAAAATAAATGTAAGAACATCAGACTAAAACAAGACTGAACATACCCTTCTGGATCGCCAAATTCCTTTCCCTGTGCTTCGAGGCAATCGAGTGTCTTATACTTTTCTAAACAAACTCCTGAAGTAATGTTTACTTCTCTGTCTAGTCAAGCAGAAATAATAAAAAAGAGAATTCAGCTTTCTGTGTTGCAATTAAACATACTTATAGCCTTGTGCTACAAGAACCAGTTTTAATGACAGATCCTTAAATTTAATTTACTGTAATTGCAAGTGGACTAACCAGGACATTAATTTCATACATATGAAATGCATTGATGCAGGAGAAATTTGTTACATTGAGATTCTAGAGATCTGCATCAGACATGTGGTACAGGCCAGCAAACAATGAAAATATATTCTATTTCATTCTGTAATGAGTTCTAATTCAGTTGATGAGCTACTGTATAAGGAATGTATGTATTTAATTTCCCATTTAAGCAATGATTTTCTTCTAAATGCAGGCAAGGAAAGAGGAAGTGGTACTAGAGAAAGACACTAATTCAAAGTATTCTTCACTGCAATGATTACTCTTTGCTTTGATAAACCATACTGAATGTATTGCTAGAATAGAAATAGAATCTCTTTCCCTTATTTGAAAGATGGAAGAGGAAGTGTTTAATGAACAGCAGTTTTTGGCTGTGGGCTGTGTCAGTTCACCACCACAGACTGATTATGCTGGTGGACCCAGTGACAAAGGACCCAGGTGAGGCTGAGGTACTCAATACTTCCTTTGCCTGTTTTAAACAATCTGTCCCCACAAGCATTATATTGGGTCAGTTAATCACCCCAGACTGCTGAAGCTGATGCATCTCAGGAAAAAATAATGACCAAGATTCTGCTGAAAGGTCTAGTTCCTTGTTCAAGGATCAAATACTAGCAAAATAATCTTATACAGGGTTAGTTTTGCAGGACACATAAAGATACATATTTTATATCAATAATGTTGTTATTGACAATATAACTAAGATTTTAGTCTCTATTGAACACGTCTTTGTTATTTGGAAGAAGTTTAAAAAATATGTTCCAATTTTTTTATGGGTTGAATTTTTTATCTGTCTATAATCTGTTGAGAGGAGGATTAAGTTAGACATCAGGAAGAATTTCTTCATGGAAAGGGTTGTTAAGGAAAGGAGTGCCGAGGGAGGTGATGCAGTCACTTGGTGCTTGATACTTAGTGCTTTGGTCAGGTTGACAAAGTAGTGATGAGTCAAAGGTTGGACTTGATCATCTAGGAGGTCTATTACCAACCTAAATGATTCTGTCCTTCTGTGAAATAATTTCTGTATAAATTACTTAAATTATGTTCAACAGTAATTGATTGCTGCACCGAAGAAAGAAGCAGTTCAAGATAGATAGTGAACTGCATTTAAATAATCAGTTTACTCAAAACTGAGAAGCCAGTGTGGAGCTAAGAAAGTTGGAAAACTTGGTGCACTTTAAAGATGGTAGAGAGCAGCAACCTTGCCATGATTTCTCCCTCTGCACCCTTGGATGCCAGGTCTCAGGACTTTGTGTCTTGTTGGTTAAATTGAAGCCCAGGTCAGTTTACCTTAAATGTAGGTAATGCCTCACACTGCTAAGGACCTTCTCTGGTACAAAAGAACAAATCAATAAAAAAATGTATATGAAAACTTTGCCCTGCTTTTCAGACTTTCTACAAATGTGATGTCACAGGAACACACTGCACTGTGAAAATACAGCAAGCTTACAAAATTCAACATATACACAGGAAAACTAGGATAAACATGAAATAAAGTTTATATAGCTTTTTTTCAGAGCTACATTTCTCAGTTCATAGGATTCACATTTCTCACTAGGAAAAAGCTTGCTTTTGAAATGAATTTAAACATAAAACTAAACGTTTCTTTGCTTGATTTAAATATTTTATGCTTCCCTACTAGCAATTCTGAATAACTATTAACAATATCAAATAATGAAACTAATAATTATAGTTAATAGTTACTGTTGTCAGTTGTGATATATTCTCCATTCCATACCTATTATTATCGTGCAGAAAAATGGTCCTTTTATATTTAAGACTTTCACAGTTCCAAGTATTTCCAGTGCTGCAGAAGACTGTATCTCTCGAACAGAGAGGGCAAGAAGCAGAAAGGAAATTTATACTAAAGCTAAATCTAAACAACCTAGAATAAATTTTCCTTTTAATGTTACTTTTTGTGAAGGAATTTTGAATCACAAAGGACTCATTTTTTTTACTGAAACTTAAATTCATATTAATTAATATTTAATGAATAAAATTTTGCTTATGGTTATTTTTTGTGGGAAATACTGAATGTAGTAAAGTGTATTTGAGCATATGAATGTAAAGAATAATTAAGCTATTATTCAATAAAGAAAAAAGATGAAGTTGTGGGGAATATTAAGTAGTTTAGCAGAGTAATTCTAGATGAGAAAATTATTTGCAATTTAATTTATATTGAAGATTGGAATCTTAAGAGATTGAAAAAATAAGATTGAATTAGTGAAATAGATTTCCTTATTTTTAAAGACAATGTAGCATATTTTGTAACATTTCTCAGAAAACTTAAGTTTGCATGTTCACTTTATAATAATGACTAAATAATTATTAGTGAGGTATTTAATAATTATGGTTGTAAATGGCTGAGGATTTCAGTAGTAGCAGACTGGACAACATTTCAGGGCTATCATGAATCAAGAATTAGCAGGATTTATTGGCAAGCCCCTGAGTGAAGGAATAAATAGCATATCAAGATTATGAACTGCAATAATGAAAAGAATGGTGGAGATGGGATGTAAGAGATGCCATGCAATGTATTTGATGTGCTTTTATCATGTCCAGATTCAGTTAATGCCTGAGCACTCCATTATAGATGTGAGAAAAACATCAGCAGGTTGAAGAGGAGAAACCAGAGCCAAAATATAAGTTAGATGGTTGCTGAAGTAGAGAGAGTAAGAAAGAGCAAGGGAAGTCAGCCTGACTGTTTTTGTGAAGCAGAAGGGAGTTTAGACATTTTCCATCTTTGTGTGCCCTGCTGTCCTGAGCAACCCCTCATTTCCCATCCCATAACTGCTGACTCCTCTCACACTGTGGCTTATTTTCACTCTGATCTGGGAGGACAAAATAAGGGAAAAAAGTGTAGTTTTAGATGATGATTGATGGCAGCTTTTTCTTCGTGTTCAAATAAAATGTAGCTGGCTACTGATTCTCAGGTCATGTAGTAACAGTGGTTACAAAACGCATCAAAGGCAGGGTTTCTGGTGTCCCTGCTGCATTCAAAATACACAGCAGATAAAGAACCAGAATATTTTTACTAATTATTATTCAAAATGCCCTTGCATAAAGAAGAACTAACAATTTAATTTCTCTGTGTGCACACAGCCGGGGCAACGAGAACAGGCTGGCCCTGCGGCGACAGACCATCCTGCGGGAGAAGGGCAGGAGGCAGGCCAGCCGGGGGCCGGCCTACATGTTCAATGACCGCTCCACCAGCCTTTCCCTGGAGGAGGAGCGCTTCCTGGACGCCGCCGAGTATGGCAACATCCCGGTGGTTCGCAAAATGCTGGAGGAATGTCCCTCGCTCAACGTCAACTGCGTGGACTACATGGGGCAGAATGCCCTGCAGCTGGCGGTGGCCAACGAGCACCTGGAGATCACCGAGCTGCTGCTGAAGAAGGAGAACCTGGCCCGGGTGGGGGACGCCTTGCTGCTGGCCATTAGCAAGGGCTACGTTCGGATAGTGGAGGCCATCCTGAGCCACCCTGCATTCGCCGAGGGCAAGAGGCTGGCCCTGAGTCCCAGCCAGTCGGAGCTGCAGCACGACGACTTCTACGCGTACGACGAGGACGGCACGCGGTTCTCGCACGACGTGACGCCCATCATCCTGGCGGCTCACTGCCACGAGTACGAGATCGTGCACACCCTGCTGCGCAAGGGAGCGCGCATCGACAGGCCGCACGACTACTTCTGCAAGTGCAGCGAGTGCAGCCAGAAACAGAAGCATGACTCTTTCAGCCATTCTAGGTCCAGGATCAATGCCTACAAAGGTCTGGCCAGCCCTGCCTACCTGTCTTTGTCCAGTGAGGACCCGGTCATGACTGCCTTAGAGCTCAGCAATGAGCTGGCCGTGCTTGCCAACATTGAAAAAGAGTTCAAGGTGAGTAGAGGGACACTGGTTCTGGCAGACACAGAACTGCAAACTTTATCCTTCATAAATCAGCAATATAACGTGGGAAACTATACAGTTTTTTACTGAGTGGAAGATTTAAATCTTAGTGAATGTCTTATTGCCGTGTGCCGATTGTAATTCATGTTGCTTATGTAGAATGTGCCAATGAACTAATTTTCTGCTTCCTACCAGGCAGGAGAGTGAAGGAGGTCCTTCAAACCCATGGCCGAAGCTGGTCTAGGGCAGGGGAAAGAGGAGTCTAAAGTGGTACATTTTAGTCACTCATGTCACATAAGTTGCATGATTCTATCAAACCCTCATGCATTCTCTTTAGTTTCTTGTATTTGGACTTGAAGCTTTCATACTGACAGTGTATTGCGTTCCTTCATGAGGAGAATTCTAAGTAGATGTCCTCCTTTTTTAATGTGCTATTCTAGTATTTCTGTTCACTCCTTCCTCTTTCTTACTTTTTTGTACTTAGTTATATGTAAACTGTGTAGAGTTAAAAGGCTTTTTCAGTGTTAAATAGAAATTTTTTTATTTCATAAATGGATGTTTTGGAAAAAAAATATTAGTAGTTGAGACTCTTGAAGCATGAGTTAAGGAGTAAGAATACAAGGTTTTATCTGTCAGTAAATGCAAAGTCAAGCCTTGTGCAAACATTGCCAATGTTATTTATGACCTGGGTTAGCTAAAATCATTTAGTGTGGGTTTGCCTCATGGGACCCTGTCAAAAGCAGATGCTCCTGTGACAGAGCTCTATATATAGACTTCACTAGCAGGAGATCAACATCCTTCCAAAGTTGTTACAGAATAATTTCCAACATTGTGTTAGCAAGTGTTTGAAGTTATCATGATCAATATTTAACAATAATCTTGGCAGTAGTACAGTTCACAAAATTGTGAACTGTCTCTATTCAGCCAGCCTGAGCTGAGGTGCTGCAGTTCTGAATGAATTCCCCTGGACTTGTGCTCATAGGTGGCACCAGTCTATTATAAGAAGCTGAAATATTTATTGGAGAGGGAAAATGAGGAAGAAGAATGTATAAGGTGATCTTAAAAACAGCACCTGAACTGCTGAAATTGGAGGGAAGGAGAAAAAACCAAAATGCTGGGAGGACCATTTGAGACTATTGCAGAGAATGAATATCTGCCCCATGAAGTCCCTGGCAGAAACCTTTAAGACCTCAGTGGGCTGAGATTTCATCCACTGATTTCCTGTGCAGTTCAGTGAAGAGTATTGAAACCACATACTTTTTTCTCTTCAGCAGCTGCTGATGGCAACAAAAGGACTTGATTAACTTAAAGCAGAGTAAATTTAGAACAGAGCTAAAACCCATTTTTCATAAACCATAAGTGCAGCCTGTTAAGTTCACAGCTATGTTGAGATAAATAGCTTGTCTGATTTGTAGGAACTGCATAGATCCCTTTACCACAGTTGGAGTGACACAAGCTAAGATTATTATAAAGATAAATAAACTCATCATCTGGTGCAGCCAAAAAGAGGTGCCCTTCAATGTATGCTACAGAATACAATCAGTGAGATGAGTGGGAGGACTGTACCTGTCCATGGCACCACCAGGCAGGGAATGGAGCTCACAGGTGAGAGCCCAAGTAGGCTGGGTCACAGGAAAAGCTTCTGGTGCCAGCTCTGAAGTGCCATGAGGAGGTCCTTCTTTGGTGGCTTCTGTTTTTCCAGTTCCTCTTTTGTCTCAGTTGCTGTCTATAAAATGAGAGCTTCACTTCTAGTGTAATGTTGTACAAAGAATTTTGGATACTGTCCCTCAGCAAAACAGGAGATTAGAGACAAAGCAGCTCCATGCTGCTGGGCATTAATTATCCAGACTCTGCTGGGAATATGCATACTCTTTGGATAGAGTGGAGTGGAATAGGAACACTGAGAAGCACAAGGCAACGTGGAAATTTAACTCTCCAATAATTAAAGGTTTCACCAGGAGCTGGCAGCTGGCAACATAAGGTCTTTTGGGAATGTTTTTATAGATACTAAAACCATGTAGTGGTTCTGGATAAATATTAAAGACTGTGAAGTACATTTATAACTGAATTTATGAGAGCTGACATTTACACTATTGATAAGTAGTGATATTTACAATATCTAGACAGGCCAGAGATTTGACTGCAAAATACTCTGCCTTAAGTTCAGTGGAGGCAGTACAAGTGTGTAAAAGTTACAAGAAATGGAGGCTGTCAGCTCTACTGAGTCTGGGCTTGTTTGCACTCCTGCAAGCTTATATCCCTGGTTGCAGCAATTGATCTAAAAAAAAATGTTACCCTTGCTTTATTTCAGGAGTTTTCTACAATCATTTGAAGAGTGTGGTCACTGCATAAAAGTGTGGGTTTGGCAAAAATGCTTAACGTGTGTTAGTGTAATCAAAACAAGTACATTTTTAGTGCATAGGTTATGGCACTGGACTTGGCAAATCTTTAGCTCCACCTACGGTTAGCCTGAGCCATTTAAAATATTTCAAATCTTACCTAAATTAAAACTGAGCTTTCTGGTTACACACCCTTTTAGGTCACCTGTTTGAAAGTGCTGATAGGGTATTGTAGCAGGGAAACTTTCAAGTGGTTGCCTACAGCAGCCAGTGACACAGATAATTTCCAGGTCTTCCTCAGAGGCAATTGGAAGGATCAGTGCTAAACTGTGGTGCTGGTTGTTTTATGACTGTCCTATAAACTGCTTCTCTCTTCTAACATTAGAGAGAACACTGGCCATGAAACTGTGATTCATACAAATTAGGAAATTCCACAGTCAGGGGAAACCATTATTCTCTGGAATAAACCCCTTTCTTTCTACAAACCCATGCGGTAGTGTTATCCAGCATTACATGCATTTTGCATTTTGTTGCAGGTATTAAAAGTGTTGTAGTATTTAAGAGTGTTTTGGAGAAAATACTTTATTAGGCGTAAAATCAGAAACAGTAGATTACTTCTGAAGGAAGAATAACTGGACAGATGTGTAAATCACAGTGTAGAAATATTTCTGTACCAAACAAATAGGTAATTCAAGCTTCCTAAGTAATTCTGAGATCTTCAGGTATTTCTGAAGACCATTTAATTTAGTTTTGTGTCATAGAACCATAGAATGGTTTAGGTTATAAATGACCTTAAAGATGATTTAGTTCCAACCCCACTCCCAGGGCAGGGAACCTTCCATTAGATCAGGTTACTCAGACCCCCATCCAACCTGGTCCTGAACATCTCCAGGGATACAAAGTACTCTAAGGACAACCCATTCCAGTGCCTTACCACTATTTTTGCCTAATATGTAGTCTAAACCTATGCTCCTTCAGCTTAAGGACATTGGCTCTGGTCCTGTCCTGCCAGGCCTTTTTCTGAAGTCCCTCTCAAGCTCTCTTGGAGCCGCTTTAGGTACTGGAAGGTTCTGTAAGGTCACGCTGGAGCCTCATCTTCTCCAGCCACAGCTCTCTCAGCCTGTCTGCATGGGAGAGGTGGTCCAGCCCTCTGATTGTTTTCGTTGGCCTCCTCTGGACCTGCTCCAACAAGTCAACCTCTTTTTTATGTTGGGGACTGCAGAGCTGATGCAGCCCTGCAGGTGGGGTCGGAGCAGAGCAGAGGGGCAGAATCCCCTCCCTGGCCCTGCTGCCCACACTGGATGCAGCCCAGGACACAGTTGACTCTTCAGGCTGCAGTCTGACATTGCTGCCTCATGTTGAGATTTTCATCCACAACACTCCCAGTCCTGCTTCCCATGGTTTTTCTTGATCTGTTCTCTGCCCAGCCCATGCTTGCACTTGGGATTGCCTCAGCACATGTGCAGGACACGGCTTAGTGTGCAGCTTTACAAAGTTTGATATTATAGAGAATATTTTTTTTTTTGGAGACGGTGTTCATGTTTTCTGTCATCTCAGTGGTTTGCCCACCTAAGAGCTAATATATTTACTATACACATAAAGATGCAGATGATATATGACAGAGGTTGTCTTGCAGAGAGATGTGACGTGAAGTTTTAAGAGGGACACTTGTGGCCCAGTGCTGTTCAAAATAGATAAGATTAGCGTTTGTTAAAAAGTCCACTGCAACTATAATGGCAACTGAATGATGAAATAGAAAATGTGTTTTTAAGTTAAACATAGATATATTACTGTTTGCTGTACAGTAATTCCCCTAATAAAATCATCCCAATTTGCTTTTCTGATGAGAGGCAAAATTCAGTTCAACCCTCTCAAAATCTAATTTTCTAGGGGTTTTTTTGGGTTTTTTTGTTTTGTTTTTTTTTTCATTTATACAACCCCCATTACAGAAATGGGACCCCCATCTTCACTACAGCTGTTGTCAGCTTTCCTAAAGAAAAGTAACATTACTTGTTAGAGGAGGAGGGAAGCACTGAAGGCATAAGGGCCACCTTTGACAGGGAAGTAATATATTTAGGTATCTACTGTGACACCTAAATTCAACATGACATCCCACTTTGAAATCCTAAGTTCTAGTATAGCAGTATCCATATTTCTGATCTTGTCCTCTGCAGTTCACTGAGCAGAGCCAGGACATGGTCTGGAGCACTGCTCCATCCCATCCATGTGGTTCATTGTCATCCTGCATGCTGAGAGCATTCTAATCCCAGGCACAGTCTGGGGGACAGCAGGAGCCTGTGACTGGTCACAGGGAACCATGTGAAAAAAGTCTCTTTTTTTGGGAGATACAGCTGTGGTGATGCTGTCCTTGCTGTGCTCTCCTGTGCAGGGTCAGAGGTAAAGCAGGCCATGGTCGGCTGAGGTTTTCAGAGTGACAAGAGCCTGCTTGCTCCCTTACTTGGCACCCCAAGACAGTCTGGCACGTTTAGGGCAGGTGACTCCTCTCAGCAATGCCACTCTCACTCCTCTGCCACCAGCATTGTTCCCTAGTTCCTCATCCCCCACAGTGCTGCCTCCCTTCTGCAGGTGGGAGCAGCTGGTACTTCTCCCTCATCCTTGGGAAGAAATTTGTGAAATCTGGCACAATTTGGTTTTTTTCCTAAACTGCTGAGGAGCCCTGAGCCAGTGTTGTCACATGCAGAGAATTAAGCACACATGCTTAGCTGAAGAATTCAGTGCTGATTCTTTTTAGAGCCTCCAACTGTAACTTAGTTTCTAACTACCATCTAAAGTTTCTCAGGAATGGGCTTTTTTAAAAAATCACAACATTTACAACATGAAGTAAAGGAGAACTCATTATTCATGCCTTTGACCATTTTTGAAAATAAATTAGGCCAAACAAATTGCCCCACTCCCTTGGCTCACATAAATGGTAGGAGACATGTGGGACCCAGAGAGGGGGACCTTTATTTGTGTGTATACAGAGACATATTGAAAAGTGTATCAATCATTTTTGCTGTCATTTCATTTTTTGTTCTGCCTTCAGCTGACTTTGCCTGTGACACAGCAGAGGAGGAGGCAGTGATGGGCAATGCTCAATTTCCCAGTTGAGCAGTTGTTTGCCATAACCTGACTGCTGAGAACTTTTCATCTTGGCTACCACCACTGGTCACAGCTGTGGCAGTATTTCATGGGAGGGGGAAAAGTTTTATTGCATTTGCAGATGAGAAAATAAACTGGTGGATTTTATGAATGAATTTACAGGACACTAATACATACTGTAGTACTGTGTACAAACCCAAATTCAGAAGGGATAATTTCCCTGTTAGAGTAATGGTCTCCTCACATACAGTTTTGAAACTCCATGTCTGGTGTCAGTCACTTAAGCTGGAAAATACTTATGGAGAGTGTGTATGAGTGTGGATGTATATACCTATCTTCAACCAGAAAAAATACACATACTAATATATTAAAATGTTTCATAAGTTCTTATGAAGGCTAAATTATATTTTTTGTATGTTTACTGAAAGTTACTTGGTTTTTTGTATTGGTACTCAAGGGTCAAATATCAGTTTGGAAGAGTTAGTACCTAATCATAGGTGGGTAGTTGCCTCTATGTTTCTCCTTTGTCTGTGAATTTGAAATGGCTAATTTTCCTTTCATTTGGAAGAGAAAATTAATGTGTTAAAAATACAGAATAGTGAATCTTAGCTTCTGCAGAGAAATGAAAGCCAAACAGAAGGTGAAATATTACTCTCAAAAAAGTCTTTCTGTAGTGTCAGAAGTCAGGATTTTGGTTAAAATCTCCTGTTATTCAATGAATGGAGAGAAAACAAATAATGCAATAATAAATTATTCAGAATGACAGGAAGTTATTGCTTTTAGTATTTAGCTTCTGTTGTCTTTGTAGATAAATGGCATTGAAGTGCCTTTTGCTCTTAAAAGAGATAGATCTGAGTTACCTTGTTTATGTTATATTATTAAAAAAATAAATCACTAGCAGTTTTATGTAGATGTCTGTAAATATTTGTCTGTGAATGTTTGCATCCATCTAAGCAAAGTGCAGTGTGAAACTTGGATGCAATCCTTTAATATATCCAAGTAATAAACTGCTGTTGTAGTGTTGTGGGTAATAAAGCACAAAGATGCATGGAGTACACCCTCAGCAAAGAAATTAGGGTATCCTGTATGCTCATTCTCTTCTAGGATGAAGTATTGGATGCATTAGATGGCAGTTAGTATGAAGGAAGTATTTAAAGAGAAGGGGCTAACTCAAGACTGAGGGTGGAAGAAGGGGAAATACCCCGAAGAAGAGACTGGAAGAGGGGGAAATGTGTCTGTGTAATAAAGCATTTGTAGAAAATTACTTTGAACATGCCACAGAGACTACATGAGCAGTCCTGCATGCTGTGAGGTGGTGGGAGGTGTCTTCCATTCTTTCATTTAGGAGAAAATTCTACAGTAATTTCATCTTTTTGAGACATTAAAATGAGCAGAAATCAAAAAATAGCAGAAGTTTTTTGACACATGTGTGACTAAATCTCTTGTGAGATTTTTTTTTTAGCTTTAGATACACATCTGTACCTAATTCCCAGCTATATCCAACTTTCATGACCCAAACACAGCTGCATGTAAGGAGTGGTTAATGAACTGCAGATTGCAATGATCAAAATACCATTTCCTGTTTTGACTTCTGTCTTTTGGAAAACAGTGCCCAATGACAACACTTGTTAGCTAAAGCAATAAGCAACTGAAGCTGCAGTTGCAGTGCAGCATTTTGGCCCATGTGCTGAAGTCTCTTGAGAAGTCCTTGAGCTAGAGCAGAGCTGCAGTCAGAGATGTGGTGTCACAACACAAGCTGTACCACTGCTAGCAGTGTTGTGGAGAACAGCAATCAAACCTTGTGTTTGCAAGCTAGAATAGATGTTGGAAAAGGTGAAAGACAAAGTTTACAAGAATAATTCCAGGCATTAGAAATTTCAGTATATTTATGCATTTTGAAAGAAGGTTGGGAATTTCTTTAGATGTATTCTGTGTAGGATGCTCATCTTGGCTAATTGAAATCTCTACAGTGCAATTTTCTACATCTTTTCTAAACTTCTGCAACAGTGGATAGAAAAATTTCCCCTCTGCTATACATCTCAACTTGAACTGGTCATTAAAATGTGTCATATGATGTTGCTGAAAATGTTTTGGTTTTCTTTTCCTACTTTAATTTCCTCTAAAGCATGTCTAGACGAGTGACTCAGGTGTGAAAATTGATAATGTAGATGTACAAGACAACCAAGGTGAGATGAACTCCATTCCTTGAACATTTAGGGGAAAAAAAGCATAACAAGATGCAGAGAAGCTATTCACATTCACAGAGGTGTAGGTGGAGTGTAGAATTGCTTCTCTCATGTTGGATCTAAACACCAAGATTTTTTTCTTTCTGCTTCTCTTTTCTAGAATGATTACAAGAAACTGTCTATGCAATGCAAAGATTTTGTAGTTGGACTGCTTGATTTGTGCAGAAATACCGAAGAAGTGGAAGCTATTCTGAATGGTGATGTGGAGATGAACCATAATAATGGAGAGCATGGTCGTCCCAGCCTCAGCCGCTTAAAACTCGCCATCAAGTATGAAGTTAAAAAAGTAAGCAATTCTGTTGATCAAAGAGGCGTGTCATGATGGTGGTATAAAATTATGCTTTTGTTAAATTTTATGTTTCGGTAGCCTTTGACACTGAAATGAATGTTTGGGCCCTTTGGGCACAGTGGTTTTAACAATCTAAAGAGTCCTTGCTTGCGATGTAAACAAGAAGCAGATATTTAAGGTGAATACTGCTCACAATGAGCATGAGAGCAGATTACTCTAAAACAATGTGTAGCTATATGCAACAATTTTTGATATACATTTTTATTTTAAATCTCTTTTTTACAGAAAAAAATATGGAAAAGTTTTGCACTACTTCTGAAGCCTGGAAAAATGTAAGATCTAATAAAAGCTAAAAACAGTACATCAGACCTAGTGCACTACATAATGAGTGTTAATACAGATTTTTGTCAAGCTGTTGTGCTTTGCTCAGGAACTTGAGAAAACCTGGAAAAATTACATGTCTCACAGAAACTGTGTTTGTGTCTGTGCAGAGGGATCAGAGGAACAACCTAGGAATATTAGTACTGTGGTTCTGAGTTCAGGAGAAAGCAGGCTTTAGGCAGTGCCAACTACAGGAATTATTGTCCCTTCTTTGGCTTGCTTTTATTTCTACTGACAGTTTAATACTCTGTTCTCCATCTGAACAGTGATCAGTGAAACCAGCTGAGTTTGTAACTGCATAAACATTGGAGTTTCCCAGGAAACTTGTCTTGGATAATATAGGTTGTAAAATTCTAGGTGACTTGTGTCAGCCAGGGAGAAATGATTTGTGCAGTGAAGTTTGTACGACCAAAGATCAAGGAGGCACAGATAAAAGGTATACTTCAAAAGCATGTTACCCTAAATTTTTACAGAAATTGAATTCCCGTGCCTGGGGGACACACAGAGATTTATATGTGAGAGGTGTATTTATGTGTTCACAAAGGGAAGGAAAGACAGAAACCCTTTTGGCTTAACCAGTATATGAGCACAACCTGCAAAACACTTCCAAGCTACAGTCACTAAAGAGATCTGAAGCAGCTGTTGAAGAGAACAGATTACATTGAGCTTGGGTACTTTATATTGTTTGAGTCTTGGTGCTTCTGCACATGTGAACTTTCTTGCAACACTTTCTCTTATCTCAATAAAGACATTTCTTGTACTTTCAGCCAGTCATCTTTTTAGTATAGAGAAAGGACCTAGAAAAAAATACTACATTCAAATAAATTTTTATTTTATTTATGGATTTGGATTTTAAAATGTACAGTGCACAAGAATCTACAGTTTTTTAACATCTACCTTTGTAAGATGCTTCTTATACTGTCCAGAGGACAGTATAAGAGCCTTTTAGGACAGACTTCTCAGTTTTGCAGTTTGTCCAGTTGGTTCCAGAACCAAGTTATAAGTAATCCTCATCTGATTTCCTGCAAATGTGACAGCTGTTCTCTCATGCCAGCTGAAAAAAAAAATGGTATTTTCTGTGTAATTATGTGAAAATAGGATGCATTATTTCTTTCCTTAGTGAAGATTACGTAGCAATTTTTGCAGAACAGAAGACTCAAGGTGTTGGAATTTCTGAAGCAGTAAAATTAAAATTATAAATGTCAGAAACATTTAGAGTTTGCCCAGATAAATCAGCCTTAGATGAAATTAATAGTTTCTGATGGAACATAGTGTTAATAAATAAGTTTTTAAGTTCAGGTATTTATTGCTGATGGCAACATGCATGTCTGCTGAGAGATTTGGCTTATCAAAATAGATTTTCTTATGCCCCTGTTAATGCTCCTTTGAGTTTAAGCTGCATTTTCACAATTCCAGCATTCTTAATCCACTTCCTATGGCTGTATTTTAAGAGAAGTTATTCTGAAAGCAGTATCATTTTTGTGCTCTTTTTTATTTTTATTAGTTTGTAGCACATCCAAACTGCCAGCAGCAGCTCCTCTCTATCTGGTATGAGAATCTGTCGGGTTTGCGGCAGCAGACGATGGCAGTGAAGTTTCTGGTTGTCCTCGCGGTTGCGGTCGGACTGCCCTTTCTCTCCATGGCCTATTGGATTGCTCCTTGCAGTAAGGTCAGCCTGGGAAGCCTTGTCAGGGCCTCCTAAGAACTCCTCAGCCTGTAAATTCCTGTATGACAAAGACACACTTACACAGCACTTCAGAAACATGTTGTTTTAAAGCCAGGTTAGAGTGGAATGGCTGCAAGGTTGCACGTTCAGGCAATTGTAATTAAGACAAGCAAATGTGTTGTGTTAATTGCAGTATGAAGGAAACTAAGTTAAAATGGTCAACCAAGTGTTACATTGAGGAAATCCTGCTTTATAAACCAGTCAAACAGTTTTTCATTTAATTCTTGCCTTAGTAGGCAGGTGCAGAGGATACTCATTTTCCATTGATTCAGATGTAAGCTAAGCTCAAGCTGTGGGTTGATTCCAGTTGCTTCAAAGGAAATTTTCCTTTTAATTATCAAAAATAGCTCTATAAAAGTCAAGACAATGCTAGTATTCATCATATTTTGTGAGGTCTTCAAAGCAGTTGTACAACCTGCCCTGCATTCACTTGGAATGCTCTGTCTGGGATTAGGTGCTACAAATATATCTGGTTTGGTTTATATATAGTATGGAAAGCCTTTCCAATAAAGATAGGTTGCAGTTTTTGACCTCACTGAGCTTTTTGTTGAATCCCTGTTTCAGTTGGCCCATATCCCTTTTGAGTGGACACTCACGGAAAATTTCTCTCTAAAGTATGTTAGAGGGACAAATCCTATAAGGATTATTCAACATGTTGCAGTACAAGATCCACAATTCTAGCAGGTTGGACTCTGTAGCCTTTTATGTTTTGCCAATTTTTTTCATGTCTTTCAATCTAGACAATAAAAATCAGTTGCATTATTTTCACTTTTTAGTATTATGCCTAGGGGGTTTATGAAGAATTTTCTCTTAAAACACCTTGAGATACAACACATTTCAGTAATTGAATTTTTGCTGTAGCAGTGACTTACCTTGCTATTTTCCTTAAATGATTTATTTGTCATATACAAATGTGGTCAGTCTAAAATTTAAAAGTACTTTTCTGGAGTTGCCAACTAACTGGACAAGCTAAGACTTTTAATACTAACACAGGCACTCTCAAAAATAAAGAATTGCTAAAAGTTCAACTTCATGTGAGTTTGTATGGAGCTTTCAGGTTTTAGAGTGTTGCACTAAACTATTTTTTAAGTTGTTCATAGTGATTACAAAGCTGAGAACTTTTCCTTTGTACAAGTCAGGAGGAAGTTAAGACTCTACAGAACTACAAATACAACTTTTTGAGATGTCACGACTTTTTTAAAAAAAGAAAATAAGTTGGGAAAACTGCACAATAACTGTGCTAAATTGAGTATCACATCAGTCAGGAAAGGGAATTCTTTTCTTCATAATTCACTCATAATGATAATGCTTTTAGTAAGTGTGTCAAAATCTTATTTTCTGTCTTGCCTCACAATGAAGCTAGCTAGTATTAAAAAATTCAACAGCTGTAATAGATTTTTCTCTTGATGATCTGTAATAGACAATAATGACAAAAAATAATTACAGTATTATTTCAAGTCACTGAGTTAAAATATATATTTTTTATTTTTCATTTCAGTTTCACTTTTAATCTATTGCTGATACCCTAACAGTGAAACTGATGGATTATTCCTCTGAAAATAGCAAATCAGTAGAAACTTGTAAAGGTGACTGTGAACAGGACATCACAGTATACAAATGTTTTCAGATATTTTTTCTTCATATTATTGAAATATATGATTATCTGTGTTACTGCTCTTTTTATATACATTTTATTTGGAATCAGTCAGTGCAATAGCCTTGTGTTTGTTGATCTCTTTTGCAGCTGGGGAGGATAATGCGTGGCCCATTCATGAAGTTTGTAGCCCATGCAGCTTCTTTCACCATTTTTCTTGGTCTGCTTGTCATGAATGCAGCTGACAGGTTTGATGGCACGAAACTCCGACCCAATGAAACAACAGACAACGTAAAACAGCTTTTTAGGATGAAAACATCATGTTTCTCATGGATGGAGATGCTTATTATTTCTTGGGTAGTAGGTAAAAATTTTTGCTTAAATTGCTATGATTACAAGTGAAGCTGAACCCAACTAAACCCTTTCCTTTTAACGTTTTGTGTAAAAATTGCAACAAAGGGAGTTTATTCAGCTGTCTGCATTCCCACGTGGGCCTTGTGTTTTTTATTAGATGGCAGCAGGATTCATGTGTCTGGTTGATCACAAACATACAGACTAAGTACTTCGGTGACATCTATATTATCTGAAGATTAATTAATTCAGTATTATGAATATCAAAGCAAAGTGTCTATCAGTTTTTGGGGTGGTTGAGTCTTGGTGTGAATTTCCAGGAGGAAAGATTTTTATGTGATGAGACAAGATTTATTTGTGTCCAATTGTCTCTTAATCTCTTATTTTGCAAGCATGCCTGCAGAACTAATAGTGTTTAGCTGAATATATTAGTGACAAAAGAGAAGAATATAGATCCCAGAAGATTCAGTGGTATATTTTTTCCATCCCGACACAGGAATTAAATGAGTTCTATGAACAATACTCTGAGCAGACCCATTCAACTTGGTGATGTAGAACTCTTCAGCATCAGAACTTGAGCATACACCTTCCAAAATATATTAGCTGTCAGATTCTTACTTACAAGTCTACTACCTTTTAGTCCAGTAGGGTTTAGATGTCCAAATATTTTAAGGATCTGGTTGTTAGTTATGCCTGTAAAAAGGGAAAGCTAAATTCAAGCTATCCATTCAAGACCTTATGCATTTAAAGTATTTTGCTTTTATGATCTCACTGTGATTGAAATTTGTATACCAAGTGATTATAGCTTTAAAAGACCTTGGCAGTATTTATTTATTTAATTGTAAAGCTATTCATAAATTATTATAATTTTTTATTTTAGGAATAATATAGCACTTAGACTTTCAAAGTCTATAAACATCAATGTTTTCATCTGGTAATAAAGAAATAAATCATAAATTCTCAATTTGAAGTTCTACTTTGCTAATTTAATCTATTTTGTATCAGTGTCATGCATAAGACAGTTTATGAAAAATTGATTCATGCATACAGATGTAACATTGACTGTAATTGACATTATTATTGTCCTTATCTGAAAATGATGAAAAGTGCTTTCAATTTGATAAGTGTAAAAATTAGTGACATTATTCCATTTAGTTATTAGCTCTTTAGAATTTTACTTCATAATTACATATTTTTTACCTTGAAAAGAAAAAAGGGTTTTCACAATAAAAAAAGCTGTCATAAGCTGATAATGTACTTCCACTTTATTACTAAGGGACAGTAGTTAGGAATCAGACAGATACCTGTGTTCTATTGAAGAAGAATTATGTCTGAGTCTTACTTTCATGATCATTTGTCACATATGTAAAAGAGACTGTAGCCAGGAAAATGGCAAATAAGAAATTTTGAGTTATGCTTTAGCTCTCCCACCATTGTATGTTCATGCCAGAGCATTTCTGCTCTTCTCATCTCATTCTGTGTCTGTAACAGATGGTAATACTCACATCCCATTCCTCTCTTGGAAAGCTTTTGTAGTTTTACAGGAAGAAGCAGTCTGAAAGATTGTTATTATTACTTAGATGAGAAAGAAGTCCCAGAATGTATATAAATTTGGAGGTCCAAGGATTTAATTTTGTGTTTGAACTCCCACTGATCAAAATAATTTTGAATATGACTGCCACCAAGAGCATGTCCTGTATATAATAAAAATATGAAACAAGCATGAGGAATAAAGAACACAGTGTTTTCTCTGTTCTCTCTTATACAGGCATGATATGGTCTGAATGTAAAGAAATTTGGTCCCAAGGTCCAAAGGAATACCTGTTTGAGTTATGGAATATGCTTGATTTTGGTATGTTAGCAATTTTTGCAGCATCATTTATAGCAAGGTTTATGGCATTTTGGCATGCATCCAGAGCCCAGAACATCGTTGATGCAAATATGAAAGATCTGACAAGTCCAACACTGGAGCCTAACATAAAATACTACACCTTGGGTGAGTTGATGGCACAATTATTGGGCCAAAACAAACTGATTTTCTTTTAATAAGTCTCCAATGCCATAATTTCACAATATAGTACTGAAGAAATTTCCACAGCTTCACTTCTTTATCTTTATGGCTAGTTGAACGTGAGCCAGCAGTGCCCTGGCAGCCAGGAGGGCCAACCCTGTCCTGGAGGCATCAGGCACAGCATGGCCAGCTGGGCAAGGGAGGGGATTGTCCTGCTCTGCTCTGCTCTGGGGCAGCCTCACCTCCAGGGCTGGGGGCAGTTCTGGGTGCCACAACATAAAAAAAGACATTAAACTGTGGGAGAGTGTCCAAAGGAGGGCAACGATGATGGTGAAGGGCCTTGAGGGGAAGTCATGTGAGAAGCAGCTGAGGTCACTTGGTGTGTTCAGCCTGGAGAGGAGGAAGCTGAAGGGAGAGCTCACTGCAGTCTGCAGCTTCCTTGTGAAGGGAAGAGAAGGGGCAAGCACTGATCTCTGCTCTCTAGTGACCAGGGACAGGGCTCAAGGGAATGTTCTGAAGCTGTGTCAGGGGAAGTTTAGGCTGGATGTCAGGAAAAGGTTCTTCATCCAAAGGGTGGTCAGACACTGGAACAGGCTCCCCAGGGAAGTGGTCACAGCACCAGCCTATCTGAGATCAAGAAGCGTTTGGACAACACTCTCAGGCACATGGTGTGACTGCTGGGGATGGTCTTGCACAGGGCCAGGAGCTGGAGTCAATGATTGATCCTCATGGTTCCCTTCTGACTCAGGATATTCTATGTTTCTGTGATTCCACTATTGATCATAGGTCCCCTGGCTGTGTTGGTACATCTTTTTGTAGACTGTTCTAGACAGCACTGAAATGAACTAATATCAAAATAAATTCACTGTCACCCACCCCTTTTCTAGATAATTTTAATCTGTTCAATTATACAATACTGTCCTGCCAACCAGTCTGTGGTGGTGCAGCTTTGAATGGAATGTATTGTAATGCAGGGACAGAACTGAGCAATGAGGTGCAGGAAGTTCATAAACCTATTTTGCCAGAAAAAACAATATATCTTTTATATATTATTTGCTCAGAGACTCTATTATATTTCTTTAATATTTTTCAATCCTTGCTCTTTACCAGTAAGAGATAAAAATGTTAAGAAACTTTCTTGGGATATTTGGGAAGTCCTAGAAGGTATTTTGCCCAAAAAATTAAGCACTGCTGACTTGTGTTCACTCTCAACACCACCGCATCTCACTTACCATTATTAGATATTTTTCTCTAGATACTAAATTGCATCAGTTTCTGTCTTTATTCTGTGCTTCAGATACTGTTTCTGAAAAGGTTGCGTTTTTGCACTATCCAGACTGCAGAAAAGCAGAGCAATTAAAATGTATATATTCTGAAACACATTAAATTGTAGTCTTATAAATTTTACTTGAAAGTTATAAATTTCACATAAGTCCTAAAAGCAATAGTTGAGGCATTTTTTTCATGTATGCATGTACACTGAAGTCTGTTTGAAGAGCATCTGTGTATGGATGGTATTAATAGTGAGTATTTAATGCCAGGTTTTATCATAGGGTAGCAAACATAACTTGATGGACACCAGGTTGAACATGAGCCTGTGCAGCAAAGAAGGCCAGTGGTACCCTGGGCTACATTAGGCAGAGCACTGGCAGCAGGTGGTCCAAAGAGGCCTTCCATAGATAATTACACGTTTTACTGAGAGGAATTCTCATCTTTTTTCCAGCCAGAATAAACTGGGATCCGTCTGATCCTCAGATCATTTCTGAAGGGCTGTATGCGATTGCAGTGGTGTTGAGTTTCTCACGGATAGCCTACATCTTACCAGCTAATGAAAGCTTTGGGCCACTGCAGATATCACTTGGCAGAACCGTGAAAGACATCTTCAAGTTTATGGTCATATTTATCATGGTGTTTGTGGCTTTCATGATAGGCATGTTTAATCTCTATTCCTACTATCTGGGGGCAAAACAAAATGAAGCGTTCACAACGTAAGTACAACTGATTAAATTGGAACCTTTATTTTATTGGAACCTTTATTTTATTAACAATAACTCAGTAAAATACTACATGTTCTTTGCAATGCTAGTGTATTTTTGGATGTGGGGAAATGAGATCTCTTTATCAAAGCAAGAGAAAATAAGTCTTCAAAGAGATGGAGATAAATAGGAAAAAGTACCTCAGAGGTTTGGACTTATGTTATTTATAAACTAATCAGGAGGAAATACATTTATTTAAATAAACTAACCTGAAAAAAAAATCACTATTTCCACACCATGACTTTACCCTGGAATTGTGAAATACTAAAAACTCAGCTGGAAGATTATGGTCCATAAGACTAATTTTTTTGAAAATTGCTGATTTGCCATCAGATATCCTGTCTTCTTCATAGTTTATATAGTTTAGTTTCATGTTAATATTTATCATGTTAACAGTGAAAGGATTCTCAGTAAGTGAACTAATGATGCAATTTAAATAAAGTACAGGTTAATTACTTTTAAATTTTTTTCATGTTAACAGCAAGCTTGTAGTATATAGATTAAAGTAGTTAACAAGTGAATCATTGTAATATTCTTTTGAGGATGGATATATGATTCCTAAAACCATCTGATCTGAATCAGATGGTTTTATAGTTAGTTCTGTTAGGAATTTTATGTTATGAAACAGCCTGTACCCATGAAATTAGACAGTCTACTTTTATGTACAGAGGTGGAGTTCAACATTATGATAATGGAAAAATTTGTACACTGTATAAAATTGATAACTGGCAATTTCTACAGTAAGAATATATAGCTTTTCTTCAATAACATATGCATGTGTCCAATTTCTCCTTTTAGTGTTGAAGAAAGCTTCAAAACATTGTTCTGGGCTATATTTGGACTCTCAGAAGTTAAATCAGTTGTTATCAATTATAAACACAAATTTATTGAAAATATTGGTTATGTTCTCTATGGAGTCTATAATGTTACCATGGTCATCGTCTTACTGAACATGCTTATTGCAATGATCAACAGTTCATTCCAGGAAATTGAGGTAAAAAGTCCATTTATTATGAAATATCAACCTATTTACTGTTACAACTAATTGTCTCTGGCTCCTGGAAAATTTTCTTGTTGACATCAAGACAAGTGCCACATAAGCTTTTGGGAGATTTCAGAAGAAAATACTAATGCCACTGTTCATTTTTATTATAAAATACCTGTCAATTACTTGGCTGCATGTGCTTGCAATAGTAAGAACCAGACTGGAATAAGAAACTACTGGTGAATTGTGTTATGTTCCTGAAGAGTATGGGCTACATGTTGTGACTTCGTGAATCTTTCATTTGCCTCATTTGTAATTACTTGCCAAAATCCAGCATTACCTTTTGCATTCCATGGAAAACAGAGGGCTAAATCATTACCACTGTTTAGAAAAAAAGTAAGCAGATCTCCAGGAGCTGGGCCATCCCAGACTTTCCTAGGGATTGCTCTTGCCAAAGCATCAAACTTGGGTTTGACTCCACTTTGGTCCCACATTCTGGGCTCTGACTGGGACCTGTAGCATTGTCAAGCTGGAGCAAGAACAACACATTCTCTAGGGATGTTCACATTCTTCTGGATCAGGAGGCCACAGGGAAAATCTGTCAGCTTTATAGCATTAAAAATACAGTGACTGAACAAAACAGCCTCTAAAAACAGGTGCAGCAATATTGAGTCATGACCTTGAACTGATGTCAGTCCTTTCTGCAGAAAACCCTCCTAAACTTTACAGGGGGAAATAAAGTGAGTGTTTTGGTGATCATAAATGATAAAAATAAGCAATGATGATGATAGTATATCTCGTTTAATCATGTATTTCAGAAAATTTAAGGAATTAGGTAAGAATCACCTCATCTTTTTAAAGTTTATGTTTAAAGTAATAGAGTCTACAGACTAGTAATAGAGTCTGTCATTGTGGTCCTGTATCACAGACTATTAGCACTTACTCTGGAATAAACAACATTTAAATTAAATCCATTCTGTTCTTCTGCAATTGCATTATTTTAAATGGATTAAGAAGAACATTTCCATTCACTGAAATTTTGGTTTTCATAAATCTTGATCTGTTTGAGATTTACTTCAGCCAATTAACACTTGAAACACACATGAAGTTTAGCTAGAGCATCTTCAATAGTCAGAGTGGTAGTAACCGTGTCTTAACAGTTATGTTTCTGTTTTACAGGATGATGCTGATGTAGAATGGAAATTTGCAAGGGCTAAACTTTGGTTTTCTTACTTTGAAGAAGGGAGAACTCTTCCAGTACCCTTCAACTTAGTGCCAAGCCCAAAATCTTTGCTGTATCTCCTAATCAGAATCAAAAAATGTATTTCTAAACCATTTTTGTGCCAAAAGAAAAGCTTTCAGGAAGATGCAGAGATGAATAAGGTAATTTTTTTCTTGTATATACTGACTGCTAATTTTAGAAGATAAAGCCAATTTTAACTTTATTTTTATTATTGCCCTGCTTTATTCATGAATTTCCCTACATACTTAATGCATACTGAACCAGTCACTAACATGGGAGAGTAGAATAGAATAGAATAGAATAGAATAGAATAGAATAGAATGGAATAATTACAATCCCTGCTGAAGTTCAGGTCCAATGACATCTCCTGCTTTCCCTTTATCTGCAAGTCACTTTATCTCAGAATACCATCTAGATGGTCAGACAGATTTTACTTTTCATAAATACACACCTGCTTTTTCCAGTCACCATCTGTTCTTGCATGTGCTCCAAGAAGTTTCATTTTTCTTTGCGTTATTTTGCCGGTTACTGAAGGGAGGCTGAGTGGCCCAGGGTTGCTCAAATCATAATTTTGACCTTTTTTGAAGATGGATCTGACATTTGCTGTTCTCCAGCCTTTGGGGACCTCTCCCAATACCTGTCTGTGGTCTTTCAGAGATGATAGCATATTTACAAGGGGTGCGTCTGCTCTCTCAGATGCACCTGTGGATGTAGCGCTCTGGATTTGCTTGGTTCAAGTTCTTCCTGTCTCCTCGAATTCCTTCACTGAGGGCAGAGGTCTGAGAAACTGTTGATGAAACCTGAGGCAAAAAAGGCATCAAGTCCCTCATTCTTACCTTCATCCAGCTGTCACTTAAATCCCTTTCCCCACTGCCAGTAGGCTTGCATTTTCCTTGTGCTGCCTTACGTTGCTGTTGTAGCAATATTTCTTACTGCTCTTGCAAATGTCAGCTTAAGGCAATCTTTGTCTTTCCTAATGCCACCCTCACATGCATGGGCAGTCTCCAAAGTCCCCGCTTGGCACCCTGTCTCTGCTTCCACTGAAAATGCCCTTTGCTTTTATTGTAAAATATTTTGTTACCTGTTTTACTTACACAGCTTCAGTAAAAAGCACTTGAGTTGATGCATTGGACTTGCTTAGTTTGTAGCAGGTGTATTTTTCCTGCACTGTCTTGGTATAGATCATTTCAATTGCTTGAGAAAAACATGGAATGTTAGGTGGCATTAGAAATGTAAAGTCTGGCACTATTCTAGCACTATTTTAACATTTTAGGGAAAAAGAGTTATCCAAGGCAGCTGATCAGATGTAGTGAGTAGAAAGGTGAGCATATGCTAACATACAGGGGGAAAAAAAAAAAAAAAGTAAGAATTTGTCATGTTGGAAAAACAAAATTTTCTTCAAAGGAAATTTAAGTATGGAAGAATCTTTGTTAAAATGGGCTGTGGTCTGAGCAGAGGCCTGTTCAAGGTTAAAAGTTCTTGAATTTGTTGTCAAGAGCCATTAGTCCTTAGTCTGGGGACCAGTAAAGAATTTACATGCATCTGTCAGTTCTCTGTCACCAGTGTGACCAGCACATTTTTCACACTTATTAGTTGAAGAGTTAAAGAGGAAAAAATGCTCACAATCCTTGAAAGAAAAAATGGACTTTTAGGGAAAAATCCTATGCCTCTGGGTAAGTTTATACAAACACTGTTATCTAAGTCAAAATTGCTATTACGTTCAAGTGTCTCATCTCTATTACCAGTAATTTTTCTAGTGTTTCACAGATCTCACTTCATTTTGTTTGGAAAATCTAATCCTAATGTATTTAGGACCTAATAGGAATGACACATGCATTTGCTCAGGTTTTTAATGAATCTGACATTTGCAAAACTTTTCTTCAAGCTGCATGATGCAACCCGATTTTAAAACCTCTGTGAGTGATAAAGTCATCACTAAAATATTGTGCATTTGAGGAGATGCATATAAACTTAAAATTGAGTGGTGGTGGAAAACAACAAATGGTTCTTTTCTAATTCACTTACTCTGTGAATTTGAAAAGCACATAAGTAGGTTATAAGCTTGTGTTAATGACTTCTTAGCATGAAATTTATGTTCCCATAAAACAGATACTCTTAAAAGTCCCATTTATACAGACTAAGGAAAGAAGATGTATTTTTATCACTCCATTCAAACCTAGCAATTCGTGTTTTCTAGCATGTTTCTGGAAAGGTGCATAGTGTAATACTAACCAGTTCTACATAAAACAGTAGCAGATTTGTCAGCTTTTACAGCAGTCCCTCTGAAAGAGAGCTGTAGGGATGCAAACATTGTTTATCAGATTTTTTCCTAGCCCTGAATTAATTTTAGGTCTTCAAATATTAATGCTTTTACACTCAGTTCAGATTTTAGTATAACTAATCCTAAATGAAATGTGCATACTCTGCCGCCAAAGCAGCTATAAAAATGCAAATCAAATTTTAAAAAAGCATATTTTTACATTGAAAAACATAAAGTGTCTTGAGTTGTATTTATTAATTTCTCAGGTTTTGCAGCAGATAGTGGCAGATGATTGCATTTTCACTTACCTTTTGGGGTTCTACATGCTGAATTTATCTGAATCTATTGCCATCCTGTGGACTTCCAAGAAGTAGCTAAAGTGGTTTTGTGTAACCTTTTGATCCACTGTTGGCAATTCATTATTGTTGAGGCTGTCATGGCATCTTCTCAAGGGCACTCTCAGGCTTTTGGGATTTTGACTTTTGGTTCCCTTAGTGCTGAGTGGGTTGATGCTGCTGTGACTGCTGAGCAAGGAGCTACCTGTGCAGGTATATTTATAGTATAAATAAAATGAGCTGTGGAAAGATAAGGAAAGATTTGGCAAGACCAGACCCAAGACTTGAGGGCTGTGTTTGTGCTAGTGTAACTTGGGCAGCTTATCTGGGTATGGAGGCCAATTCAGGAATGGCTTGTCCCTATTCAGGTAGTTTTCCTCACACAGTAGGAAACCTCTTGTCCCTCAGCCATTCCAGTTGCCAGACTGTGCCTAGGAAGACAGAAGGTTGCTCTGGTGTGAGTCCTACCTGGGAGGACAGTGAAAGTCTACTGGTGGGAGACATTGCACTGCAGTGCCCAGCAATGTTAACACACACTGGGGTTCACTGATCCAGACCCAGCCTGTGGGTTGTTCTGCTGCAGAGACTGCATCTTCTCTCTGCAAAAGCTGCTGTAGCTTCAGAGTGAGTGGGAAGACAAGAATTAGGGTGGGAAGGAAGGAAATGCTACTCCTAGCTCCAGCTCTGCCCTGATCATTGCTAGCAGAAAACGAAGCCAGATGCTGTCAGTGCTAAACAGCAAGTAATTTACATAGCTGTGTTCAAAGTATAGTACACCAGAAATTAATTTCCTGAGACATATCTAAATGCAATACTAAAGACTGTGAAGATGTTTTCTTTCAGGCTGTTGATTAAAATCCACAGACTTCTTTTTTCAGGCTAGAATTGGCATTTTAAATATCAAGTGAGAAACTCAAACCAATAAAAAGAAAAAAGAAATGAAGGAAAAGGAGATTTTTTAAAAAAAACCTACTTTGACTACTGTTCTAAATTTAAAATTGCCTTGGGATTGAGAAAATTTACTGTTCAAGTGTCACAGAACTTGTTCATCTTCCTGAGCTAAAAATCAGCAGTGAGAGATACTATATTTAAATTTTGTTCATTAAACATGGCCCTTCAGAAAAGAAGTAGGGGACAGCTATTTATTGAAGTAGCTTTAAGCCCTCACTCAAAAAGAAAAAAATGTTAACTTTAACTTTCCTAGTGTAAAACAGTATTTCTGAAATTTTCATGAGTGACGTCTGCTTATAGGAGTACAAACTGAGTCACTTTCTGGGAACCCTCCTTTTTGATCCAAGAAAGTGCAATTTTTTGGAATTACAAGTTGACAGTAGTTTCTGATTTAAGACATTAATGAAGTGCTGAAGAAACCAGCTATAACAATTTCATTACTATTCTGATTGAATTTTACGTAATACAAGAGAATAATGAAATGAGAGGCAAGTGTAAAGATGAAGATGTTTTCAAAGAACAATGATCCATATATCCTGCATTTCATATTTCACCCCCCACTCTAGAAGAAGAGTTATTTTGGTTGGGATTTATATCATTGTTTTATTTAATTTACATAATTTCCTCTCTGGTTACTCATATTCAATAAATGGTAACTTAAAAATACGGATTCTAGGTCAGTCACCAATGTGGCAGGTTGAGTGCACTCTAATTTTGGAGAAAGAAAAAGCCTTAAGCAGGAAGCTTAAACAGAGCTTAAAGAGAGTTAAAAAATGTTAAATGTGATAATGAAATCTTGGCAGTCTCTGCCACCAAGTGGTCATTCAGCAATTTACAGTGGATCTTGTGTCCTGTTACTGGTACACATAAGATCTAAAGTGTCACACTTCTGATTTACCTGCCAACTTTCAAGGTGGCTAACTAAAAGTAAATTATTATCCTAAAAACTGTGCTGGAGGGTGAAGGTTAACATAAAGGCATTACAGTGTGCCTGGTTTTACAAGTTTGCAGTGTCATAACTCATGTCATCACATATTACCAATTTTGCTATTTCAAGTGAAAATCAAATTGTAATTGAGCAGTAGATTAACTTTTGAGGTGAATCAGTGTAACATAAGTTTGAAACTGGTAACCAGCATGACACTTCGCTTTTAAAATATGAAATAAAATACATATAAATACCCAAGGCAACTTCCCTCTGCTGCTGCAGAGGAAGTGTGATCTTACACTTTTTCAAAAAATGGTGCATGAGAAATCCAAGAGCTGAAATAGCAGGAAGATTGTTTTTCTCTTTTAACCCAGTATTGTAGATGAGTCCCAAGAAAGTATAATTAGTTCTAAAATCCTGAAAAACATAGCGATTATATAGTGATTGTGTAAACTCCCTAGTCATTATTTTTTATTATAAATCAGATACCTAATTTAAGTGAAAACATTTTGATAAGATTATACTTTTTAAGATATATTCAAAATATCTGAAGTAGCTTTATTCAAGCATGAAAAAATAATAACTTGCCCTTTCTATACAGGTCTGTGCATATGTAGATTAATATATAAGAGAAATATAATTTGTTTTATATGTTTTACATTATTTATCTTTTATAATTACTTTTGCTTAGTCAAGTAAACATAGACTAAATAGATAAATAATGGTTTTTTTTAAAGTATGGACAAACAGATTTGTGAATCTTTCTGAAGAACCAAAAATTCCCAAATTCAGTGTACACTTTATATTGATTGCTAATGAATGTATTTTACCAATAGATTTAATCAATTTTTGTATCAAAATACAAGCCTGATCTAATAGAAGGTGTCCCTGCCAACTGCAGGGGCATTGCACTACCTGTTTTTAGATGTCCCTTCCAACACAAACCATTCTGTGATTCTATGGAATGCTGAACAAAATCTAATAGTATTTAAATTATTCCCAGTGTACAGCTGTGTAAGCAGCAAATCCTGCCCCATTTTTGTCAACAAATTGTTTCCCAGCATATCCCACAGATCTTTAACAGGCTTCAAAGTGCCCCAGTCTGCTTATCAGTAGATGCTTGATATATTAGGGCACAACATAGAGAGGTTCAATGGAAGTACAAAACATCTAATGGCATTTGAGACACTGCTCTGATGGTCCCATCCACTGAAAGAGTAAAATTTTGGTTGGACCATGTATAATATCAGGAAACTGAATTTTTAGTGGTACTCCCACTTATTCCTCATCCAGATCCACCATGACTTATATTTCTTGCACTGCTATTTGTTGAACCCACCCCACTCTTCATCTAAAGCAGTACCATTTGGTTTTGCAGTTTCTGTTCACTGTTACTGCAGCCCAGTCGTTCAGCTTGAGTTCCAGTTCACCATTTTGTGATGCCTTAGGTTTTCTGTCATAGGATATATACATGAGATATACATATTGATCTTCTATTTATTTTGTACTATAAATAATGATTCTGTTTCAGCTTGATCAAAGGAAGCAATCGAGTATCAGAAGCTCAGATGAAATCCACTTGAACAGTTTAAACAATCCTCCAAGACAATACCAGGTAAAAACCAGTTTATTTTTAAATAAAATCAAGAAGTAGTAGAACTGGCAGACTGATGGCATGAGAACAGTTTTGAATTTATGCTAAGTAACATGAGTCAAGGATAAATCCACAGACCTTGTATATTTCAGAAATAAATGAAATGGTTTAGGTATTTGCAGTACAATTTGAGGGTGTTTTTCACTACTCTTTGTTTCTTAAATAGCACCCTTACAGTGCAATTTATTTATGTGTTTTAGAAAAATGTTCTTAATTTTAGAGTTGAGTCGTCAACTGCACAGTGTGAACTGAGAAATCCAAAAATAAACCCCAAATCTTTCCATTCCATTTGCTGAAGCAGATCAGCTTATTGTGGTACATCTCTACATACAAATGCCTCAAGCACTGCCAGTATCTGTCAGCCTTTATCCTATCAATGCAGTCTGGTTTTCCTTTGCCTCCTAAACAACTGCAGTGAGCCTTTGTGCAGTTAAGTATAAAGAGACCCAGCACAGTCCTCATCAATCTCAGCTTTTCTGGTCCAGAGACTGCTTCTTTCCTTCTTGTAATACTGCAAAGTGGGTGGAAAGGAAGAAGCAAGAGCTGCCTGGGTAATATAAAAAGACAATCTGAATGAAAAAAGGTACAGAAAATGAGTATACTTTATTGATCACAAGAGAGATTTTCCCTTGGGCAGGCTAGCTCCGCTCCACTTTTATGTTATGCAGTGTCTACAGGAGTCTGTTCCAAAACTCCCTCACTTTTTCACAGCCAATTTCATTATGATGCAGGGGTAGATACTAAGATTAAAAATCTATGCCATAAACATGTAGTGTGGCTTTGTATTTGAAAGATTCTTGGATCATTGTAATAAACAGTACAGCTGCTGACCTTGCAGGCGTGACCACGGTGATGGCCTGGGACCACTAATCTGGCATGACTCACCTCAAAACCAGCTCTATTATTGTGGAGACAGAAGTAGAAATATAAATCTATGAAAATTTTCTATCTTAAAATGGAAAAGAAAAAGTATTATGTTGTCATGGACTACACCCTATGAAAATATTAAATCCAAAGGCAGAAATGCATATCCTAAAACGTACTTGGATACCTTGTTCTTTTTTAAGTAATTTGAACTGTTGGGAGAATCAGGACCAAAATTCATTTTTTTCCTGGAAAGGTAAAATTTGCAATAAATTTGCTGGCCTAGATTCCCCTTATTATTAGCAGAGAGGTTGGTCATTCTCATGGTATAAGCTATTTGGTCAGTTTTAGTTGTCTCAGATGAGCTGTGCTCTCAGGTTTGCTCATTTTATCCATAGAAGGAAATAATACATATATTTACCTTAGAAAGTATCTGTCTTTGGTTAGATGAGTCCCAGCTGAGACTCACTTAAATGACTTCGAATTTTGGATCCCATTTTCTCTAAGCAAGCCCTACACTGGGAAAACATAACTTAGCAAATATATCAAAATAGGTTCAAATAAACTAACAAACTAAAAGATTTACAACTAGCAATGCTAAGCAGGGTCATTATCATCTTTGGGTGGCAATAAAGGCCAGATGGCTTCATCTACTTGGAGATCAAAGATGCAACTGTATTAGTAGTTCTTACAGCCTCCAGTAGTAGGTTAAAGCTTATGAATTATAGCATTCATAAGATTATCTTTAGTTCTCTAACTTTCAAAAAAAATATATATATATCTATATATATATATGCAGAATCATGAAGGTTAAATATCACCTGTAGATGAAAGCAGAGATTTTTACATTAAGTTTCTTTAACTTGTCAAGTTCTACACTGAAGTATCAGAATGCAATAGACAGTAACAGAGGTGTCATAATTTAACCTGTGTGTCAACTAAGTACCACACAGTTGCTTACTCACTGCCCCCACACTGTGCCTTCCAAGTTCATGGGATGAGGAGGAGAATCATAAAAGGTAAAACCTGTGAGTTCAGATAATGATACTTCACTAATTTAAGTAAAGAAAAAAAAAAAGTAGTAGTAGTGGTAGTAATGAGAAGGAGACATAAAGGAGCAGTGATCACCCCTCAAGGCCAAGCCTCCCCAGTGTCTATACTGAGCATGATACTCTGTGGTATGAAATATTCCTCTGGCCAGCTTGGTTCAGCTGTCCCAGCCATTCTCCCTCCCAGCTTCCTGTGCCCCTGCTCAGCAACAGAGCATGAGGCATTGAAGAGTCCTTGCCTTTGGGTAATCACTGCTCGGCAACAGCTAAAACACCAGTGCGTTATCAACACTACTCTCATACTAAACCCAAACTCACACTGTACAAGCTACTAAAAGGAATATGAACTCTGTCCCAGCTGAAATCAGGACAAGAGCTCTTACTTTGAAATGTCATAACAATACTAGTCCAACTAAGAAAACTCCCCTTTCCTTTCTTTGTTTCTTCTCTGCAGAAAATAATGAAGCGTCTTATTAAAAGATACGTGTTGAAAGCTCAGATCGATAAGGAAAGTGATGAAGTCAATGAAGGTGAGTATGTTGATGAATTGTATGTTTCATCAGAGAATCAAGCTAAAGTGATTATATATTTCCAAAATACTTAATCCACTTCACATCTTTGCAAGTGCAAGAGGTAAAATTAACAAGCTGTTGAAGAGATGGGATTTATGTCTCTCCTCTCCCATCAGAAACTGTCACTGATCTGACAAGTGTTAAAATGTGTTGCTACATTTAGAAATAATAGAATCATAGAATAGTTTGGTTTGGAAGGGCCCTTCAAGATCATATGGTTCTTTAAAGATCTGGTGGTCTGGGCAGTGATGGGTTAATGATTGGATTCAGTGATTTTAGAGGTCTTTTCCAACCTAAATGATTCTGTGACTGTGATTCTGTGATCTCTCTTGCAGCAGAAAAGCATCCTCCATCAAATAGATCATGTGAGTTTTGTGAACTCATGGTCTCTCAGACTTTTGCCTTTAGATTTGTTTGATTCCTGAACTGCATCTTTGTATTCCTATCCCCAAGACACCATTCCACTGAGGTTACCTCAGCTGGTCAGAGCATGATGCTAATAACAACAAGATTTTGGGTTTAATCCCTACATGGACCATTCACTTAAAGCTGGATGGTCATTGTGGGTCCCTTCCAACTCAGAATATCCTATGATTCACCAATGGGCACCAGAATATCTACTTCTTCTGTTTCAACAAAGAAATACAAGAAAAAACCATAATTTTGAGATATTTGGGTGTTGTTTTTTTCTTTTGTTAATATTGTGATCCTTTAAAATCTGTTACAGGTGAATTGAAGGAAATTAAACAGGACATCTCAAGTCTCCGGTATGAACTCCTTGAGGAAAAATCTCAGAATTCTGAAGATCTGGCAGAACTTATAAGGAAACTTGGGGAAAAACTGTCACTTGACTCTAAAGAAGAAGAAAGCGAGAGATAACCAAAATAAGATATGCAACAGAATGTTAACAATTCACTTAAAGCCATATTTCTGTTTTCTTCAAGTCTAGCTCACATTTCTAAAAAAGATTCAGAAATTAAATCATTCCAATTCTTTATTGTGGCAAATCCTCTAGGTCTACAGTCGGGAGACCATACTACTTCAGTAAAGATATTTATTCTTTACCTGCTGAAGAATAGTTGATCTGAGATAATTTAAGTACTCAATTTACTGTCTAGAATTCCAGTGGAGTCTTGATGAGCTCAGACACGAAAGATTAAAAGCATAGATCGAAACTTTTCCTATGTTAACTGTTTGTTTTTTGCAAATTTCCCTTTGTAACCATTCTTACATGTATTTTAGTGAAGCAAAAGAGAAAAATCCAGGCTTTTATATATATATACATATATCAAAAGCTATTTAATTTTTCCAGCATTCCCAACTTGCAAGAAAAGAAAAAAAAGCTAACTCTCTTTCTTAAGAATATGTAGGATATGAAAATAAACCTATGAATGTTTCCATGTAGAGGTAAATACCAAGACACTCAGAGCACTGTGTTGTATTTTCCCCTACTGATCCCTGTCAGCACTGGGCTATCCTTTGAGATACCTAGGTTCCAGTGGGAGTTAGTGCATTAAGAAAGAAATATTTTTCACCAAGTTTATTGAAAAGCTATTTCTGAGCCTGGGAGGCTAGAAGAAAACCTTCTTTAACCCAAAATAATTAACCCTTGATGTTCCAATCTGTTTCAGAATTCCCAAATTCTCTGGCTTTTATGTCTTGAACTGAACCTCCCAAACTGCAGGTTAGGGGTTTGAATGCAACATTTTTATTTGAGGTGGAAGATACCAAAGTGTTAGGTCCAAACCTCTCTTTGAATTCTGGGAATGTCATGCATGGGGGACCATCTTTCTCTATGTTAAACCTGTTTAAATGATTAAATTTTCTGCAGACATAGATAGCAAACAAAACAATCTTGTTGCAAAAAATAATGAAATCTTTTCTTCTCTGGATTTGCATCCCTCGTCCTTTTTTCCACTGGTGACAGCTCAGCTCTTGTGCTGTATTCTTTAGGACTCTTTTAATGAAGAATCTTCACTCCACGTGGTAAAGAAAGCTCCAACATTTTCACCCTGCCCACTGCAATAGTTAAAAGTCTCTTCTGTTGAACTGCAGATGAGCTATCCCATGCTCTGTCTGGCTGTTTGTTGTGTAACAATGTCCATGCAGGACAGTCAGATGGTTTCTGTCTTTCCAGATAGAAACAGCATAAATTCCATTCCATAATTTTTCCCTTGGTTAATACAGTAATTTGTGTTTCTCTCTTTGGACAGTCACTAATTCTGGAGGTGTTATAAACATATATTACATTGGGCATCTCTGCTTCTCTTTAAGCTTTTTTTTTGAGATTAGTGAAAGGGCTGTAAAAAATTATAACATGGCATCCAGGTGTATAACACACCTGTAAAAGACTTGTATGAAACAAGACTTTAAAAGGCTTGTCAGTAATTGCTTTAAAATTAACTTTGTGAAATTTATTTACTGTGGAATGTATTAGAATGTTTCTGCCTTTCCCTTTCAGGCTGGAGATTATTTTTATTGGGTCTCGATTAGTTTCCAGCTGGATTTTTATTGATAGTTCTTCTTTAAAAAATATTGATGGAATCACTGCGTATTTTCAGGGAAAAAAGACATATTAGAATGGGTTTTGAAATCACTTGGAGACAGGTGGAGGTAGGGGACTGAGGTCAGCTTGCCCTGTGAGTGTTTGTCACGCTTTGGAGGAAGAGCTTGGCACAAAAGTTTAGCCACAAATGGAATATGGGGAGCAATGTGTGTCCTGTGGGCTTCAGGTGCAATGAACTCAGGGTTTAGAAACTTCTAAGGCTTCTTCATCTGAGGGAGAAGAAGGAAAGTGAGGGTTCTTCATAGGTAGTGAAGCACAGGCAACTGGTGTGACCTCCTTAGGCCGGAAGGCAGTGTGATGGTAACTTCACTGTGTTGTGGCTCCTGGATGGTTCCTGGCCATCTCTCTTGGCCAGGACTGGCCTCTGAGTTGAAGTTCCACCTGAGTATTTTGGACCTGGTTTTCTGAAACAGTGGGCAGTTCATTCAGCTCCACCAAAGGGCTGTGTTAGAGGCCATGCTGCTCAAAGCACATCTTCCATCTGAGGGATGGCTCTTCAGAAAATCTATTGGTCAGGATCGGAGGTAACAGGGACAGCCAGCGTTCACTTTCAGTAATCAGAAGTCTTAATTTTTGGTCATTGTAATACACAATTTGGATCTGCTGTAGTGCTCATTGGTGGTAAACCCTCACTCTCCATAAACCCAGAGAGAGGAAATACATATACACAGTTTGAGATCCAGGCACTTCTAAAGTGAAGATTTTTATTACAGAGGTAAAATGTACACTGTGAATTTGTTTAAACCCAAAATTTGATGTACCTTAAAACTATAAGATCATAATGTATATATTGTATTTCATGAAGAAAATGCATATGGATTTTTTTAATCATTGAAGATATTTTATATGTAGTTATTACTCATGGAACAATTTGTTAAATATATTTGAAGAGGTCTATTGCCAAATGTAGTGTGACAAGCAATGTAGTATTTTAAATGAGCACAATACCAAATATATTATGCTGATTAAAAAAAATTAAATGTACCAAACTAAAAATGCCTTTGTGATCCATTGTATGAAAATTTTGGTATTTCACTTTGGAAATTCGGCTGCTCCTGCTTGGAAGACTGATACAGTAAAAAACCTGGATTTCCTAACAACACTAATATTAAAAAAAAACATTTCAAAGAAGTATTTTCATACTTAATTAGACTCAAGGCCAAGTATTTTGTCTCCTGTGACTGTGCCTGATGCTAGATGTTTCAGAACATCTGCAGTAACAGAATTTTCACCTTACATAGTTCTCCTTTTGGTTTCTAATAAAACAATAATTTGATCAGAAAGTATTTCCATATTTGTTTGTTAATTATTAGGATAACAAGATAATCTTGCTACCTACTTAATTGTGTCTTTAAATCTTGTTAATTACTTGAGTTCAGCAATTTTGTTTCTGTAGCAGCAGCTTCCACATCTAAACCAGACCTGCTTAAACCAGACCTGCTATGAAGTATTGCCTTTATATACATTTTTCCCCCTGAGTATTTCTTGAACTTCAATTATGAAATATGGTGAGTAGATTTCATCATCCCTTAGAGAATCTCCTTCCTGTTTCACTCAAATGTATTTCACTAAAAGGTATGGAAGGACTTGAGAACTTCTGAAGAGAAGGCAATGGAGTAAGAGAATCCCCAAATCAATGTCTGTGCAAGGTTTTCTCACACTATTCTGGATGAAACAGAATCACATCTAAATACTGAGAGAAAGCTTTATACGTCATGGAGGAATGGAAATTTTATTAGAGACCAATCATGCAACACAAGCCTAAGGTACCCAAGATTTACATTGACAGATGCTGAGAAAAAGCTATGGGATTTCCAATTACAGTTCTGACATTCCAGGTAAAAATCTGCTGCATTACACCATATTTAGAGCACTGACAGGCCAAGCGAATGAATGCTGCTGGTTATAGAAGAGGCATCTACAGATTCATCTGATTTTAGATGAAAGCCATGAAGACAAGCAACTGAGCTTGTCTAGTCTTTCTTTGTGTTCAGTGGATAGAAATGGTTAAAGGCATGATTTTGTGTCATAAGGTAGACAAGTATTCCAGGTAAGTCATAGAGTAGAAGTGACCATTTATCTCCTGTTACTCTGAAGAAGCCACTCTGGCTGTTGGCAACATTTCTGTTAAAGTGTGAGAAGTCCCAGCTTGTCAGAAATTAGCACTCAGCTCATGAACGCTGCAAGGCCAATGCGCCGTCACAAATGATCATCTCATTGGAAGGGCTTGAACTGAAGGGGACAGTCACTAAGAGGGGCAGGATCTGACTTGCCATCCCAAGAACCCATCCCATTCCCCAGGGATGATGGGTGAGTTGGGTTCTTCTTTGCTCTGCACCAATATTTTCATTTTTTCTTCTTCATTATTGTTGTTTTCATTTTTCCTTCTTCATTAGTGTTGCTGTGGGTCAGCATAAACAAAACCACCCATTAACCAAATTATCACAAATGTGAGAAAAACTCTGTTACAGAGCACATGGCAACTAAGTTCTTGCTGCCAAACCAGGACCTTTATGACAAAGAGAAGTTTATGTCTCATGTTCTAGTACATTGGGGTGAGCATATATATTCAATGATATATTTTCAAAGCTTAAAATACCATAGCTTGATCTTGGCAGTACTTCAGCTATAGCAGCTGTATCCTGTAATTTACTAAGAACATGTTCTCATGACATCTGTGTCCCAAAATGCAGTTTAGTACAACAAAATCTTGCATTTGCTTCTTAGAGATTTCCCTCAGGCTTGAAATTTCTATCTGAACACTGTAATTAATACGTTACAAACCACATAATCTGAAACTGTACTCATTTGCAGAACAGAAGAAATTGTTCTTACAGTGTAAATTGCTAGTTTTTCATGTAAATATTTAACGCTTTTTAAAATTTGTTGGAAGCTGCTTGGTGTGAATAATCTATCTAAGTACTTAGGTTCCTGCTTAAATTTTATTTTGGGTTGTGGAAAATAGATTTCTCAAAGTTTGTGCTTGGAAAACTACTTGTGCTTCAGAAGCTCATCTCAAAATAGAAGTTAATCGAGGCTGAGGAGTGTACCTTTAAGCTCCATGCTCTTAGGAGGCCAAGGAATCCCATGCACTGTTCTTCCCTTGTGTATGAGTAACCTCAAAATGTTTCATTTGTTCTGTTGTACCCTGGTTATCATAAGTACCTCAAAATATTTCATTTATTCTCTTGTTTCAATTTTTGCAAAAAGCCACCTTTCCTGTTCCTCTTTCTGTTCTTGTCACCATCTTGTCACCATATGACAGTGCAGTAGGGACCAAAAAGTACAAATTTTCAGTGCTTTCTCTGTCCAAGGAGATGCATTTTCGTAGTATTTGGTTTTGTTTTAAGATTTTGAATATTCTGTGCTTTAGCTCC